GTCAGTAATGGCTTCACAGATGAACCGCATCCGAGTAATGCATTGAGAGGAAACCCCAGTAAAAAGCTTCCTGTCAAACAGGACATAAACCTGCAGGAGGTGCTCATTAACTTTAGCATGCAGCTGTTAATCACAATTATGGAACCTCAGAGAAGGTCATATCTCTGTATCGCCCTGATTTATTTATGATAAATCCTCATAGATGATGCTTGCAGTAATGGATAACTGAATATTCCTGACCAGTTATTTCCTTCTGAACACAGTTACTGTATGTGGACTAGCTACTTGCTGCTATCTATTAACTTTTAGAACATGAAGTCAACAAAGTTAACTGAGGTCAGAAAAACGCTTTGCTATATTTTAAGAGGTTTAGGAAGGAATGGAGTACATCGTATCCTGGCATCGTTTCACTTCAATCCAATTTTCTTTACATATAGAGCCAGTTTTAGTCACTACTTCAGATGGCAGATATGGATTAAAAACATAATTCATCAGATTTGAGTATGTTTTCAGGTTTTACAGCTCCTGCCTGGTACAAATTCTTCCTGCCAAGAGACTGACTTAAAGCCAGGAGATTTAGACTTTGCAATCAAAGCAAAATGACTCGTTTTCCAGACCGTCTTAGCTTTTCTTGTGATCTTTAATTTTGTTTATCTGGATGTAATCTGATGTCATGTTAGGTAAATGACGTTGGTGTGAATGTTACTGGTAAACTAGACTTCTTCATTTTTTGAACTAAATGTGAGTGTTGTCATCAGGATTTTAAAGTTTACCTCTGTATACTGTCCCAATTGAAAATAACTTGTTCATATTATTATGATATTTTGGTGCTGAGATATGGCAGGTGAGTCCAGAAGCTTCAAGAGCAGAAAGATGCTAAATGTTAAAGTCTTGGGCAGAAGAAGAATAAGTATTGCTTGTAAGAATTAGTTCTATAGTCTTTGTTGGTGGCAGCTGCAAAATGAAGTGTCTGTGCCATCTTGTGGTGATCAGGAGAAAGTATCACTTTGATGAAAATGGCATGTTTAAATTTATTATTTGGTTTTCTGTGCCATGTCATTTTCAGCCAATGGAAGTTTTTGCCTTGTTAGGTTCCATTTTTTATTTATTTTTATTGTAAATGTATTTAAATATTTAAACCAAGTATCACGGCTGTAGACATTGTGGCATAGACTGTAGTAAAAATAAGGTTTTGCTTTTTTTTTAACACATACATTTTTTGATTTAAAACTTGTATATGATTTAAAGAAAGCAAATGGGATGTTTATTAAGGTAATAAAAATAATCATGTCTGTAAACCTTTGCATCTTTCCACACAGTCAGTTTAAAAATGTATCTCGTAAAATATGGTTGCTTCAGTTTGTGGCTTGGAAAAAGCAATAAACTGGATTTATTATTATTTTATTTTAATAAGTCAGTACCTATTAGTTCTAACTCTATTTCTTTTTATTCTTGAGAGTTTGCATGCTTTCCAGAAGGTGGTGCTGCGGCACAAGATGAAATTTCGTGCACAACCTGACAGACAAAACTTGTGATCAGACTGCCAGATTTTGCAGATTCCCATCTTGCCATAAAAGACTATGTGAATATTACCACTGTATTAAAATGACTGCAGAGTTTATTCCCTTGCTTTTAAAGTTTTACAGCACAGACAGTCAGTATTCAGCAATGGACTCACTGTTCTACGCCATCTGGTTCTTAAAAGTGTATTCCTCAATTTGATGACCATTTAGAATTACACTTATATTCTAATGCTCTAGTGGAGCAATAAATGAATCAAAAACAAGAACAAAACACCAGCAAATTGAGCTTATAATGAAGACTCTCTCAGGCTTAACTTGGATAGTTACCACTGAAGTAATCAACCATCATTTATACATAACGAATAGTTGAATTTCAATAGATTTGTCCTCTATCTGTCATTGTCAAAATAGACTTTGATTTAATGTGCAATGATGTTTCATTGACTCTAAGAATTAATTTGGATTTAATTTGAAGTATAGTTTATCACTGCATTATATTCCTTAGCTAGTTTCATTGCACACTGCACAAAAACAGATGTATCGCCTTAAAATATTAGGTCTAACTAACCCTCTGCTATATTGCACACAAAAGATCACACATACAGTAGCAGACTTATTACCCGACTTTTGCCGCTTTCATCAGTGATACCATATATACTGCTGTAATATCACTGAATATTGGATCATTCACTCTTTTTGCACTCAGCGTGAAAGCATTAGGTCATTTTTTGCCACCTGACTGAATCATCTTACTCTGATCTTGGTGATGATGTGACTGTTGCTACAGCAACATGTTCTCATTGATATGTGTAAATGATACATTAAAGTGAGATGCTAAACTGCCTTCTCATTCATGCAGCTGTATGAATCACTGATCACTGACCTTTAGAATGAGGATGCTAAACACGGTTTGAGATGCTGATTAAATTGACTCTTTCATCTGAGCCATGAATTATTGACTTTAGACGAATGGATTATTTTATTCAGCCTATTTCAGCCTAATTTATTTATTTAGCCTAATATCTTTATAACTTAGGCTATAAAATGCATCTATTTACAAGCTGAATGATATTGAAATGGAATATATTTATCTGTATTAGGACCTCAAAAAAATTGTATATACATATTAGGGATGGGTCACGATTTTCAAATATTCGATTAGTTGATTTAATTGTAGAATATCGAATAGGTTGTGCGATTATTGTCTTAAAATATTTCCCCATGTCTTCCGTGCTGATGCGGTGGTGACGCGTTCATGTAAGCAAAGGGTGGCGCTGCCAATAACGCACCTAAAAGCTGTCAAAGACAACAGAAGAACCCATTGTCTCACTCGCACACTGTAGACTTGCGTGGCATATAACGGTTACAGTAACTTGGGACGATGTCAAATAAGAGTTATGTGCGGACCACAAACACCCCCGACTGGGTTAGAGGTGTGGCTGAATCCATGTTCAGAAAGGCGCGGAAAACAAATAACGCGTTATACGGAGCCACTAAAGGGACATGGTTAGCCGCTTGCTAGCGGTAGCCTGTTACATTACAGTACATAACATTTCACTTACCACATAAACAGAGTAAGGAAAGATGACTGATAGGATGATGGCGAATGATTTGCAGATCCTGAGCTGCACTAACAAACATAATCTTGTAAAATGTGTGGTACTGCAGAGTGCTGCTCCGTACGTACATGTGATCGCAAATCTCAAAAGTGAAAGTCATTCAAAAGTGATTGCAATGCCCCGCATATTAATAACGGCTCCCTGATGCAGCAGTTTATAATTTCCCAATGATATAATTGCGACAGAAGATATTGAAGTAATGTATATTTTTTCCTCCCATCTCATATCTATTCCCTTTAGGGGCTCCGTTTTTTAAAATGGAAATATCTTAGCCTTATAAGCAGTTGATTTCTGCTAATCGACGGACTGTTATGTGAATAAGTGCCATCATTTGGTTATGTTTATTATATTAATATATTTCAGCACGTTACAATCATTATATGGCTTGAGTTAAGGTAGCCTATCTTCTAAATTAAACAGTTTATCATACAGATTGAAAGCGTGAATCCCGTCTCTCTCCCTCTCTCTGTTTATGGGTGTTTGTGCGTGCATGGGGGGTGCGATTTTCGAATAATAATCGAATAATACCCAGCAATTTTCGAATATTATTTTTGCTTGGAATGCCCCTCCCTAATACATACAGTATATACATACAATATACATACAGTGGGGCAAAAAAGTATTTAGTCAGCCACCAATTGTGCAAGTTCTCCCACTTAAAAAGATGAGAGAGGCCTGTAATTTTCATCATAGGTATACCTCAACTATGAGAGACAAAATTAGAAAAAAAATCCAGAAAATCACATTGGTTTGGGGTCAGTAAGATAATAGTTGATGCCTTTACTCAACAAGGACGCATTAAATTGATCAAAAGTATAGACATTTATAATGTTACAAAAGATTTATATGTCAAATAAATGCTGCACTTTTTTATTCATCAAAGAAACCTGAAAAATAAAATAAGCAAGTTTTTAACATTGATAATAATAAGACATATTTCTTTAGCTGCAAATCGACATATTAGAATGATTTCTGACAGATTATTTTACACTTTAGACTGGGGTAATGATGCTGAAAACTCAGCTTTGCCATCACAGGAATTAATTACATATATTGAAATTAGTGCTGTCAAATAATTAATCGCGATTAATCGCATCCAAAATAAAAGCTTTTTTTTACGTAATATATGTGTGTGTACTGTGTATATTTATTATGTATATATAAATACACACACATACAACATATATATTTTTAATTTTTACATGTATTTACATGTATATATTTGTATTCATATAATTTATTTTATATATAAATATATTTAATATAAAACAATAACATATTTTTCTTAAATATTTACATGCATGTGTGTGTATTTATATATATACATAATAAATAAACACAGTACACACACATATATTATGTAAACAAAAACATTTAATTTGGATGTGATTAATCGCGATTAATCATTTGACAGCGCTAATTGAAATGTATTAAAATTGAAAACAATTCTTTTAAAATTTAATAATATTTCACAATATTCCTGTTAGGTGTCGACTGATATGGTATTTTCAGGGCTGATGCTGATACTGATTATTACAGATCAAGTTGACTGATAACCGATATTTTAACCGATATATATGTCTGGTTAAAAAATGACAATTAATGTCAAAATTAAGAATAACAAGACCTCTGTCAAAATCTTTCTTTAAATTATTTTATAGGCAAATCGGTTTTGAAAATGACTGATACCGATAACCATAAAAATGCTTAATATCGGCACCGATAATCGTTCGACCCCTAATTCCTGTATTTACTCTATTTTTGATCAAATAAATGTAGCCTTGGTAAGCATAAGATACTTAAAAAAAACATTTAAATGTTTAGGTGAATAATAAGTCTACCTCTGCTGATTCTGTAGGTGACATGCCTTCAGGACTTCTTTGGCGAAGATGATATATTTATTGCCTGCGGCCCCGAGAAGTTCCGCTACCAGGATGACTTCCTATTGGATGAGAGTGGTAAGATAATGGATAAAATGTCCATCCCTTTTTAAAGTGTGACTGTTTGTTTTCCTAGGACCAACAACAGCTGTTCCACAGACCTAAATTACATGACTAAATTATATTAGGTTGCAATAACTATTAAAAGTTAGTCCTTCACATTCTGTTGTAGTAATTAATAATTAGATTTATAGATTTAAATAAGCTGTTCTGACAAGTAAACATCTTGTCTAATATTGTATTATTTGAGAGTTGGAATTTTAATTTTGATAATAAGCTCTTCCCCTGGTGTTTGTTTTAATTAATTAGCTGCAGCATTTGTTTCCTGCTGTCAGTGCCAGTGTTGTCATTTGCATAAATTTTAAAGCTTTAGTGACATTAACAGCAAATGTTTTCCATTTTTGAAATGCTGCTTTTTGTAAACAAAATAACATTAAGGTAAAATGTTTATTTAGCAGCACCATTATGTTATGACATTTGTAACTAATATTATCACATTAGTTGATTACTATCCAGTTTTATTAAACTAAACTAATTGCTGTTGACATTTACTATGCAGTATCATGCACCAGAATATGAGCTATTTTAAAATCCTATTGATAGATATATTGACTCTGTGCATGTGGTCTGAGAGCAGACCAGCCTGTCAGATCTCCTCTGATCAGACCTCCAGTATGTCAGACTGAGGTTGCGGTAGATTGATCGGCGGTGACATCAGGTCATCCACACAGATGAGACGTTCTTCAGTGTGTTTTACAGAGACAGGAGGCTCATAGTGTAGAGTTGGATGGGGGGAAATTTGCTGAGGCCTCTGAAGTAAAAGCAGACTGAATTCAGATTTGTGTGTCTTTTGCTGCTTTATCAGAATGCAGGGTGGTGAAGTCGCAGTCCTTTGGCCGTATTTCTTCCATGCAGGGCCGCTGCTCTCCCCGCAGTGGTGGACCGTCAAGAAGGAGCAAGTCCCCTGGTTCCAGCAGCTCAGGTATGAGTCTTTACAGCAGACTGATGTTTAATTTAATCATGCTTCTAAAAGCATTCCTGTAGCTGTAAACTGTAGGTTGGGTATAGTAGGCTGACACTCATGCATGCAGGAGTGACTCATGAAATCTAAACTGGGTACTTGTTAGTTGATTCATTGCAGTCGCAGAATTCAAAGTTGTAAATTTGTAACCATGGATGAGTGTGGAGTGTTGCAGTTTGTAGCCTTAATTATCTTCATATCTCTTTGATTCTCAGAAGATGTGTTTGAGGAGTAATGTCCCAAATTAGGGAACTAATTTAGCTGACACCTGTCACGCATTCTCAATTTCTCCATCTCTAATGAGCTCCTGTGGCAATTAATAGATTCATTTAAAGGGATGTTGCAGTGTTCAAGTCACTGTGATGCCTGTGTCTGGTGTTGATGTAGTCTAATTGTCTGCTTAGTTGGAACTTTTCGCAGAGATCTGGTAACGACAAAACTAACTTTTACATCAGTGGATGGTTAGATGAATGGATTAAGATAATGTATAATTAGATTAACAGCCAGTCTGAGGAGACGAAGGGTGAGACCTGTCACTCCAAAAACCTTTCACAACATCTGCATTTTCTGTAATGCACTAAAATGCCTTTAAAGTGGACGCAACTTATCTACATTTGCAATGTTTTTCACTGCATCAAGCAAAACCATCAAACGCTTTTATCTTTCTGATTGACCCTAATTGTATTTCAGGTGCTTTAATTTGCCTATATAGGTCTGAATCACACTGAATTGCAGTTAAACACATCCTTTCTAAATAATTCCACATTCACCCAAAATGTATCCTAGCAATAACAGACAAGATTCTTGACCTGGCTGTATGCCGGCTTCATTTCCACTCTCTCTATGATAAACCTAAATCATGTCAACATTACCCTGTTTTTCTGCTTTGCTAACTTATGGTATTAAAGAAGATGTATTTGCTTGTGTTCTGTAGCTCAAACAAGTGAAATTACAGTTTTAACATTCTGTTAAATTTGTTCCATTTACTGTTCCATTTAACTGCATAATCTCAAAAAGCTAGTTGATTCTCACAACAGTGTCAAAATGGTGGGCTCATCCTGAATTATTATTTTTATTTAATTATTGGAGTAATGGCTGCTAAAAATGCAGCTTTGCCATCACAGAAATACTGTAAATTACATTTATTTTTTTGTGTATTCACATAGAAAATAGTTATTTTTAATTGTAATAATATCACATTAGTATTGTTTTGCTGTATTTGATCAAATCTTACCAGCCCCAAACTTTCGAACAGTAGTGTCTATACAAGAATCAATACACATGCCAAAGATAACTTGAAATAGCTTTAAATATAGTTACCTGCAGAAAATGAAAAATTCTATTACAGATAATTTTCTGAAATGTAGATGTAGTACCTGAAGACAAACATGCAACATTGTTTCAACAGAACAGCCTTTTGAATTAATATTCGGTGCGGCTAATATAGTCTGACTGAAAATGTGTTCATTCTTGGTCGATGGTGTGTTAAAATAAATATGTCATGTGTCAGTGGATTAAACATCGCTGAATTTCACCTCGCCTGCCCCGCTCCAGACGTGAATATTCTTAGCACACCCAAGCTGTTTCCATAGAAACTGACCTTTATTTCCCTCTGCAATACCTCTGCTCAGTTTAAAGGGATAGTCCATTCAAAAATTAAATTCTGTCATTAGGGCCTTTCGCACCGCGGGAACCTTTTCATAGTACCTCATCTAACATTCAGCTCAATACATTCTTTAAATTTTTTTTTTTTTTTTTTATTAATTGTTTTATTCAGCAAGAATGCATTCAATTGATCAAAAGTGACAGTAAAGACAATTGTGCTTGTGTAATGTTACAAAAGATTTCTATTTCGCATACATTTCAAACTTTGAAAATTCAATTTTCTATTTATCAAACAATCCTGAGAAAAGATTGATCATGTTTAACACAAAAACATTACCTATTATTATTAATCAGAATTGTTTCTTCAGCAGGAAATAAGTTAATTAGAAAGATTTCTGAAGAATTGTGTGACACTGAAGACTAGAGTAATGGATGCTGAAAATTCAGCTTTGCCTTTACAGAATAAATTACATTTTAAAATATATTAAAATAGAAATGTATTATTTTCAATTGTAATAATATTTCATAATATCATTGTCATTACTGTATTTTTGATCAAGTAAATGCAGCCTTGGTGAGCATAAGATACTTCTTTTGAAAACATTAACTCTTACAAACCTCATAGTGTAGATACTGTAGAAACATAATAAGAAACCGACTACTTTTCAGTAATGTTTTTTGTATTGCATTAAACTTGACTGTTCAGATATTGTCCCTGAAATTGTGTGTGCATGAACAGGGTGGCGACCTCTTTGATGCCATCACCTCCTCCAACAAATACACAGAGCGGGATGCCAGCGGGATGCTGTATAACCTTGCCAGTGCTATCAAATATCTGCACAACCTTAACATTGTTCACCGTGACATCAAACCTGAGAATCTTCTGGTGGGTGGTGGAGTATTACAGAAAGAATATTGTCACTATACAGTAAATCACAGTGTTACTTTCACAAAGGCAGCTTGGAATGACACTCACATCTGAGAGAGGCAAAGGCAATATGTTTTTATGGAGTGCAGAAACCTTAAATAACCCTTCTTACACAAGCTTTAGAACAACGATAACTTAACTCAATACTGGGCCTAGTTTACCCAGCTTATAACTTCAGACACAACACTGTGTTCAAAGTAGTGTTTGTCTAATGACAGCATGAAAAACGTCTCGGTTATGTACGTAACCCTCGTTCCCTGATGGAGGGAATGGAGACGTTATGTAGTGACGACATTAGGGGTCTTACTTGGGAGCCCAAATCCTCTCTGATTAAGAGAAAACGCCAATGAGATGTGGCTAGTGGATTTTGCATGCTGAGCCACTCCCCGTGTATACGGGTATAAATAGGCGACAGGTGCATCCACTCATCAGGTTTTATGCTGAGGAGCCGAGAACTTGTCCCTGACAACCAGCGATGGTTTGAGGTTGTGGCATGGGGACATAACATGTCCATTCCCTCCATCAGGGAACAAGGGTTATGTACGTAACCGAGACTTTCCTTATCTGTCGGTCACTTCGAGTTATGTCGTGAAGACATTAGGGGTCCATGGAAAGCGCCACAACCTGAACCCCATCACAACCCTATGGCGTTGCAAGTTTTGACATGCCACAGACAGGTGCTACGCAAAGGTCGTAACCTTCCCAATCCCCGTGTGAGGGGAAATGGCGCTGCTAGCGTGACACTGGCCGGTCCTTCCCGCCAATTACCTATAACCCAACACACGGGAAGAAACCGGCTCGACGCAGAGGTTGTAGAATCTCGCAAAGGTGTTCGGTGTCGCCCAGCATTCAGCTCTACAGATGTCTGCCAGAGAGGCGGGCATGGCTCACCTTGGAACTGGTACGCTAAGGCGATGGCATCCACTATCCAGTGGGCCAACCTCTGCTTGGAGATAGCCTTCCCTTTCTGCTGACCTCATTGCAGACAAAGAGCTGCTTGGAGCTTCTGAAGCTCCGGGTGCAGTACCAGGACGGTAGAGAGATCCCAGGAGGGCACCAGGGATGGCCTAGGCGGATTCAACCTTCTGGCACCCCTGGTGATAAGATTGTGCTTTCCCAGGGACCGGCCGTCCACTGCATCCGTGATGTGCTGCGACAGCAGCCACATACACTTTCAAGGTGGAGGGTGACAGCCTACACTCCAACCTTTCTTGCAGGAAAGCACTACTCCAATCGTGCATATTCAGGGGTCTTCTTGGCGAGAAGAACACCAGTTCACGAACAGACTCCACTTCAGTGCATAGGCTTGCCTCGTAGAGGGAGCTCTAGCCTGAGTAGCCTTCCCTTTCTGCTGACCTCATAGCAGACAAAGAGCTGCTTGGAGCTTCTGAAGCTCCGGGTGCAGTACCAGGACGGTAGAGAGATCCCAGGAGGGCACCAGGGATGGCCTAGGCGGATTCAACCTTCTGGCACCCCTGGTGATAAGATTGTGCTTTCCCAGGGACCGGCCGTCCACTGCATCCGTGATGTGCTGCGACAGCAGCCACATACACTTTCAAGGTGGAGGGTGACAGCCTACACTCCAACCTTTCTTGCAGGAAAGCACTACTCCAATCGTGCATATTCAGGGGTCTTCTTGGCGAGAAGAACACCAGTTCACGAACAGACTCCACTTCAGTGCATAGGCTTGCCTCGTAGAGGGAGTTCTAGACTGAATGATGGTGTCTACCACCGCAGGTGGCAGACCACTTAAGTCTGCCGCGTCCCGTCCAGGAGCCACACATGGAGGTTCCAAAGACCTGGGCACGGGTGCCATAGTGTGCCGTGCCCCTGAGAAAGAAGCAATCCGAGCGGCGTGACTGCAGCTGCGAATGCCATATGCCCCAGGAGCCTCTGAAAGTGTTTCCGTGTTACCACCATCCTGCCTCTGAAGGAACTCAGTTAGTTCAGCAGTGACTGGGCATGCTCGTTCTAACTCCACACTGAGAAAAAGGGATTCTCTGCACAGGGGAGAGCATGCTCTTTTTGCAGTTGACCCGAAACCTCAACTGGGTGAAGTGCCGGAGCACCAGGTCCCTGTGGTGGCACAACTGCTCTTGCGACTGGACCATGATGAGCCAGTCGTCGAGATAGTTGAGGATCCTGATGCCCACTTCCCACAATGGGGCAAGGGCGCCCTCCGCGACCTTCATAATGACACGGGGGGACAGGGACAGCCCGAAAGGGAGGAGGGAGGAGGGAGACGAGTGGCTTCTGGTCGAAAAAGGGGCCGTCCACGACTTCGTCAGCTCCTCGTGCACCTCCGTGAAGAAAGGAACCGGGGCGGGGCGTGGTCACGTGCCACGGCTTGCGCCGAGGAACCAATCATCCAGCTGTGAGGGTTCGGGACTGGGCGGTGTGCACACCTCCAGCCTGATACTCACGGCAGCCCGGGAAAGCATGGCCATCAGTTCCGGGTCCGATTCGGCAGTGGCGACAACACCCGAGGGGGGCAGCCCCGCCGAATCTTCATCCTCGGAAGATGACTGCCCATCCGCCGATGCTGTGATCGACATCGAATGAAACGCTGAGACTGCCGCGAGATGGCTCAGACGAATCACAGGGAAACAGGACAGTTGCAGCGGGAGGAGTGAGAGGTCCGCGGGGACGGACCCGGCGGAGAAGCTCTCACTTTAACCCTCAGATCACCCAAAGCACCAGCCGGTGGTCCTCTGCTTGTGGCAGAGTAACCGGAACGGGTGGCAGAGAAACCGGAATGGGTGGTGACAGAAGGTGCCCCTCCGCTCCCCTTGAGGAGAGAGAGGTGCGATCGCAGCGCTGTCATGGACATACACTCACAGTGAGCGCATGAACCATCCACAAACGCATCCTCAGTATGCTGGATGCCCAGACACTGAAGACAACGATCGTGACCGTCAGTAGAAGACAGTAACGACCACACCCAAGAGGACACAGGCATCTTTAAAAAGACGCGAACCGACCGTGATCAGAAACTGCTCTTTTAGATGAAACACCCAGGGGAATCGCTGAGTTAACAGAGACGCCGCTGAATGTGTCATAACGCCACCCAGAACAGCCTCTTCTTCCAGCAAATGAGAGAATTCACCTGGTGAATGTCGAGTTTCCTGCATTCACTCGCCTCCGAAGCAAAAATCTGATGAGTGGATACACCTGTCGCCTATTTATACCCGTATGCACAGGGAGTGGCACAGCATGCAAAATTCACTAGCCAAATTTCATTGGCGTTTTTTCTTAATCAGAGAGGATTCGGGCTTCCAAGTAAGACCCCTAATGTCGTCATGACATAAATCGAAGTGACCAACAGATAGGGAACAAAACAGCTCTGACAAAGGGTATTGTGCCTGGTGTGCATATTAATGTCCTGTGTGTTATGTTAAGTTGTGGCAGATAAGATTAATGAATGCTGTAAATTGACTCTGCAAAGATTACGATTTTATTTTAACCAGTTTTCCACATAACTGAGATAAAGCTGAAAAACAGACACAAACATTCTGGAATCTTATTTGAGCTTCCCTTTCAAAAACTGCTAAAATTAAAAATTATATTCATTTTAATTATATTTAGTTTTATTATGGTGTATATATATATATATATATATATATACATATATACAAACATATATATGGGTGTTTCTGCAACTACAGGCACTTTTGACTCTCCAAAATTAAAATGTATATATATTGTTTTAATTTAGTTTTAAATTATAATTTATATTTAATTTCCATTATAATTGTATTTACAATTTAAAAAAAAAAAAAGTTAAAGATCCTTCCTGGACCTAAATAACAAGTATTTGAATGCAGATTGGTGTGTAATTTATGTGTTTAAGGTCTATGAGCACCAGGATGGAAGCAAATCCCTTAAACTGGGGGATTTCGGATTGGCAACACTTGTGGACGGACCACTTTACACTATATGTGGCACCCCAACCTATGTAGCTCCAGAGATCGTCGCAGAGACGGGGTAAATCATGTCTTCATTAGCAGGGCAATGTTATTGTAACAGAGCATGAAAACCAAGGCTTTTTAAAGATCAGAGGCTGTATTCACAAACAATTTTAAGGCTGAAAGTTACCTCTAATGGAGAAATTTATGAGGACTCTTAGTGATAAGATAAACTTATTTGTGAATACGGCCCCTGGTCTGGAAAATAACTTAAAGAGTTTTTCTCTTCATGTTTAAGGTATGGATTGAAAGTTGATATCTGGGCGGCCGGGGTCATAACATACATATTGCTTTGCGGCTTCCCTCCTTTCCGTGGGTAAGTACAACAAAAGCATGCAACTTTTATCTTGGATTCAATACGAGTTCAATTTATACAACTTTATAGCTCATATTATATACAGGTTAAATGCAGTTAAATTTGATGTGTTGCTCCCTCTAGTGGCCGTGTTCTGTAGTTCAAGTTTGACCTGCACATCTGCAGAGGATATGGATAGTGCGAGTTGCACCTTCACTCCTTATTGCAATAGCACAATAAATATTCATAAATATTCAAATTCTGTTCTTTTAGGAGCACAGATGACCAGGAAGCTTTTTTTGACCAGATTCTGATGGGACAGCTGAAAATTTATGAGGACTCTTAGTGATAAGATAAACTTATTTGTGAATATGGCCCCTGGTCTGAAAAATAACTTAAAGAGTTTTTCTCTTCATGTTTAAGGTATGGATTGAAAGTTGATATCTGGGCGGCCGGGGTCATAACATACATATTGCTTTGTGGCTTCCCTCCTTTCCGTGGGTAAGTACAACAAAAGCATGCAACTTTTATCTTGGATTCAATACGAGTTCAATTTATACAACTTTATAGCTCATATTATATACAGGTTAAATGCAGTTAAATTTGATGTGTTGCTCCCTCTAGTGGCCGTGTTCTGTAGTTCAAGTTTGACCTGCACATCTGCAGAGGATATGGATAGTGCGAGTTGCACCTTCACTCCTTATTGCAATAGCACAATAAATATTCATAAATATTCAAATTCTGTTCTTTTAGGAGCACAGATGACCAGGAAGCTTTTTTTGACCAGATTCTGATGGGACAGCTGGATTTCCCTCTTCCATACTGGGACAATGTTTCTGACTCTGCAAAGGTTGGTATACCAAAACAAAGTTTGAACGTTCTGAAAATTCTATTCTTCATTCTATTCTTTTTTACTTCCTTTCTCTACAGGCACTTATTACCTGCATGCTACAGGTGGAGGTCGACCAGAGATACACTGCTCTACAGGTGTTAGACCATCCCTGGGTCAATGTAAGACTTTATCTGTCTGTTTTAAAGTGTATGTGCTATTCTCAGACTGTTAGTAGGAAACTGATATGCAGAGGCACTTTTTCTGCTCTTTCTCAGGATGACAGGATGTGTGAGAATCAGCACCAGCTGTCTGTGGCCGGCAAGATTAAGAAACATTTCAACATGGGGCCCAAACCCAACAACACCACAGCAGGAGTCACTGTCATAGCAGTAAGTGTCGCCTATTTAGCTCTTAGGTTTAAATGTGTATATATATATTTTGGTTACACTTTATTTTAAGTGTTCTAATCGTAACCCTAACCATATAGTAAGTACATGTAGTTAATTAATATTACTCAGTACTTAAATATAAATGTAACAAGGACACCTTAAAATAAAGTGTAACCATATTTTTGACAATATTACCCACATTAATTAAAGCCAATATTCTCAAATCAAATATTAGTGGAAATACTGCTTTATTCCAAAAGAGTGGTATCATATCTAATAGTATTTCACGATGGATTGTACCTGGCATCAAAGGATGTGAATGACTGGATTGTGTTTTTCTCTTGTTCAGTAGTTTTGATATGAAAGATTGACATGCAATTCACATTGTTTTGAGTTTGAATAGCCCTCAAGTCTTTTGGAACAAACCCTTAAGAAGGTCTGCAGTACACTGCAGTTGGATCTGCTATAATAAATCTACTTAAATATAGTTAGAGGTGTTCAAATATTCTGGAGGTTGTGCTCTTATCTCATAGCTCTTCGCTGACTCATCCATCAGCTCTTCTTCTCTCATTCCTCTTGTCTCCTGGCAGACTCCATCCTACTGCTTTCTTCTGGCTGTGACATATCTTCCTCTGATTCTGTACTCTGCTTATATAATGACTGTCAGCACTGTTGTCAGGGACTGAATCAAATCAAACACTCAAGATTCCTATAGTTTTATATTTTCATACATGCTTTCTTTATGTAGGGCAATTACATAACATTACACACTTGTTTTACATCCGCATGTAAACTAAATTTGAACAAAATATTGTCTTTCAAAACATTGCCACTTTGTTTTGAGTTTTTTTTTTTTTAGTTCTTGCTTGTTAGTCAACAACATTCTTGCTTGTTATTTTGTATACTAACTTTCAAAAGTTTGGGGTCAATAAGATTTTTTAAAATGCTTTTGAAAGAGGTCTCTTATGCTCACCAAGGCTGCATTTATTTGTTCAAAAATACAGTAAATTGTAATATTGTGAAATATTATTACAATTGAATTAACTTTATTCTATTTTAATATATTTTAGAATGCAGTTTATACCTGTGATGCAAAGCTGACTTTTCAGCATCCATAATTTCAGTCTTTAGTGTCACATGATCTTTCAAAAATCATTTTAATATGCTGATTTGCTCAAGAAACATTACTTATTATAAATGTTGAAAACAGTTGTGCTGCTTAATATTTTTGTGGAAACCATGCTTTTTTTGTGTGTGTGTGTGTGTGTGTGTTTTTTTAGAATGTGTCTTACTGACCCCATATATACGTATTTATGTTTGGCTTTATTTGCACATTGCTTTGCATGTTTACTGTTTCATTAGCTTCATACATAGTTGTTTTTATTTCCCAAACTGACTGTCTCTATACAGTATGTAGAAATGGTGAAACATTATTAGCACTTTACTGTTCTTGTTTTGTAGAACTACCTCTAAATATAACGCCATTATTGAACAGCACCTCGTGGCTCAAAGCTTGTGCTGTTTTACAAGGTGAAAGTAAACATCTGGTCTGTTGAGTTGCACTCATTTCTCTCTGCTTAGCCGGACGAGGGGTTTACCATCAAGCGTTCAGGGTCTTTGGACTGCTACCCGCACCCAGGGATGTATTGGATAAGGTATGCCCACAGAGCGGCAGTGTTTCCATGGCAGCGTGCTGGCAGTCTCCATAGTCCCTTTCCTTTCACACTCTGTGCCTCGTGCTATACAGTGGGGTGATGCATTGCTTTTTGCTATTAATGATTTTAAGTTCATACTTTTTGCTTTTTGGTGGTGCTTTGCTGAATTCTGTTTGTCAGTGCTTCACTTTTCTCTTTCTTTGCTCTGTGTTATTGTTTAATGCCGTTTATCTTTGCCTTCTGAGGAGCTTGGACACTTGAAGTGTACATTTACTACCCAGCATGCATGACACTGCTGGTTATGAGTTACACACTGGCTTGATTGTATTCGTTTCTGTGCTGGATATACTGCAGAATGCAGTGAAAGTGTTTGGTGTGCACATGTATGTGTTGTTGGGAGAGCTGTAGAAACTAAGTGCTGAAATTAATAATGAAAACAGAAATCATTTTTGATTAGTTAGGTCTGGACTCTTTCATTGTGTGCAAAAAAAATACAAAATTAAAATGAAAAATAAATACGTAAAATGTGGCACTGGACCACAAAACCAGCTAGGATAGGACAATATTTGGCCGAGATACAAATATTTGAATAGAAAACTGGTTTTCTGGAATCTGAGGGTGCAAAAAAGAATCAAAATATTGAGAAAATTGCCTTTAAAGTTGTCCAAATGAAGTTTTTAGCAATGCAATGTATGAACCATACAATGTATTGTTGGCTATTGCTACAAATATACCCGTGCTACTTATGACTGGTTTTGTGCTCCAGGGTCACAAATGGCAACGATTTATTTTTGTGTAAATTGTTCATAAAAACATTTTCTGTAATTATTGCATTAAATTGAATCTGACAGTTTATAAAAACAAATGAACATAATATAATATTTCAAACATAATATTACATTCTAAATAATATTTGGGGATTTGGAGTCATTTTTTAAAATAAATGAATACTTCTATTCAGCAAGGATGCATTAAAATGATCAAAAGAGACATTGAAGACTTAAAATATATATTTCAAATAACTGTTATCAGCAATGAATAAGAAAGAATGAATTCAGATGGAAAACAGTTCATTTTAAATTTTAATATTTTCAAAATGTTGTTTTTACTGCACTTTTGATTAAATGATTGTAGCTTTGTTGAGCATAAAAAACTTTTTTGAAAATCATTAAAAAACATTACTCATCCCAAACATTCATGTATACATTTTGTGTATATATTTTTATATAATTTAACAAACATTTAACATAATTAAAAAATTAAGATTTTGAGATGTAAGGAGTTCACTGTGCTTTTTGCACTGCTTCTAAATAGTTCACTATAATCACCGGGTTTTTAACACTTTAACTACAGTTCAGTCTTAACTCAAAAACACAAGTTTTGATTTAGTTGTCTTGAAAAGTCACTGTTTAATTGTAATCCACATGCAAATGAAAATATGTTAGCCTGCACCCATCCGATCTTTCTGCCCGTTGATTCCTAAGCAGTCATTCACTGTCCCATGTCCCTCGTGTTCCCCAGACCACCCCTCTTGATAAGGAGAGGCAGGTTTTCAGACGAAGACGCCACCAGGATGTGAAAGCGGCTGCTCCCCGCTGCACCCAGAGCACCTTCCCCTCCAGTGCCGCCCCCGAGTTCACCTCAGAGTCAGAGGACATTTCCCCCAGCTCGGCCGAGACGGTCCGCTCTCCCACATCACCGTTTTAAGCCCAAACCCGGTCTTGGCAGGAACCAATGGAAAATTATCTAGAAATAAAGGTAAATTGACTTATCGCCTTTTTCAAAATTTGTCAAATGTTGCCAAATAATTTTTTTTAAATAGCTAAGTTTGTTGCTAGGTGCTTTTGGAAGAAAAAGTTGCTAGGGTAGTCTGAAAAGTTGCTAAATCTAGCAACAAAATTGCTAAGTTGGCAACACTGGTTATCATTTGCATATTTTCGGTCTGTCATTGATTGGACGAACGCAGCACGGGACTTGGAATTATGGAAGGCGGACTAATGTTTGTACTGAGTGGACTATACATTTTAGCGTAAAAAGGTCTATTCTTCCCTCAATTCACGAGTGAATTGAACAAAGGCGAGATGTTTCCGTGACTGTCCAAAGAACCAGTCGTGAAATTTTAACCACATTGATCGGGAGCAGTTTCATCCGGTAAAAATCGGTGCTAACCCCGATTTAAATGATCAGGATGAAACGTTCCTTTACCCAGGGTTAAAAGCAGGGTTTAGAACATCGAAAACCCGGGAATAAGTGAATGTAACTGAAGGAACGTAAAAGAAAGAACTGAAAGTATTATTGTTCTCAAATGCACATGTATTTTGGACCACAAAACCTGTCACAAGGGTCGATTTTTTGAAATTGAGATTTATAAATCATCTGAAAGCCAAATAAATAAGCTTTCCGTTGATGTAAATTTGTTAGGATAACACAATATTTGGCTGAGATGCAACTATTTGAAAATCTGGAATCTGACGGTGCACCAACAACAAAAAAAAACTAAACAAAAAAAATTTTAAATATTGAGAAAATCGCCTTTAACATTGTCCAAATGAAGTTCTTAGCAATGCATATTACTGGAACATAATCTTTACTTAATATCCTAATGCTTTTTGGCATAAAAGAAAACGCCACAATTTTGACCCATACAATGTATTGTTGGCTATTGCTACAAATATACCCGTGCTACTTATGACTGGTTTTGTGGTCTAGGGTCATAAAAAAAAAAAAAATTGTTATATGTATGTGTGTGAGTGTGTGTATATGTATATGAGCTCCATTTGTCATTTGTAGCTACTCAGTGCAGTACATTTGATCATTTTTTATTATAAATAAATAGTAGGCAAATACAGTTCTCTCATCACAGTGATTCACTAGGACATACTGAACAGTTTTAACTAAAAAGAAACCAACTTAAACACATCTGCTGAATTAGCAGGCACCTTCACTTGCAATGTCAATGTTTCTGATGGAAACTATTCTCATCAAATAAATCATTTGAAATCTGAGGCATTTTAACATAAATATGACATTAAGGTAAACTCAGTTTTAAGGTTTTAAAATAAATAGTAGGCAAATACAGTTCTCTCATCACAATGATTCACTAGGACATACTGAACAGTTTTAACTAAAAAGAAACCAACTTAAACACATCTGCTGAATTAGCAGGCACCTTCACTTGCAATGTCAATGTTTCTGATGGAAACTATTCTCATCAAATAAATCATTTGAAATCTGAGGCATTTTAACATAAATATGACATTAAGGTAAACTCAGTTTTAAGGTTTTAAAAAGAACCATTGCGCAGTATATCAAATCTAAATCTATTATTGTAAATAAAATGTTAAGTATGGCACCATATTTACTGAATGTGGATTGGCAAAAAAAAAAAAAGCTTCTTACAGCAGAATATTTCACATATTTGCACTAAAACAATTAAAAATAGTTTAGCCTTTTTGATTCATAAACAGTTATAGATTTGATTTACATATGTAAGAGAATCAAAGATGCACATACATCATACATAATGTATTGCTTACAGCAGTGATTTTACAATGTTATTTTCTGATTTCAAGTGCAATTCTGAAAGGTGTCAGTAGAACAATTTAAGACAGTAAAGGAATATAACAAATAATATTTAATGCACACCATTCATACTAATATTCTGACATCATGTGAAAACGTGGTGTAAGCAAATATGAAAATAAAAACCAGTTATAGGTGCAAATACCAGTCTAAAAAAACCTCACCATTGTCTTTTCACATGTGTAAAACCATGTATAACTTTAAATGATAAAACTGCACAAGAATTACAATGATATTTGCCCAGATGCAGCATCAGCGTCGACCCTCATTTAGAGCATGACCAAAAAGAAGTATTTAATGCTGCATACATCAAGAAGTCCAGATACATCTGAAATTAAATACATCCACACCAGACAAAACATTCATCCTCACGAGGAGAATGTCTGAATGAACATTACAGGACGTCACATTAAACAAAAAGCATCTTTTCTTTTTTTCTTTGCAATCATAAAAACTAAATAAACCATAAACACAGGACAAACAGAATTCAATTGCAGAATAGTTCAGAAGGCAGCCTCACAGACAAGTTTATAAGAAATTGTATAGCATTTACATACATGAGCTCAGCATCAGAGGGAGGACTTTTACTTATTTATTGTTCAGGTAGCTTTTCTTTCCCAAGGGCCTGTAGAAAAAAACCTAGAGAAAGTGAAATATGCTGCAAGCCAGTAGAAAATAAACCTCGTAAAAATATTGTTATTGGTTCTCTATGCAAAGTGTCACGGTTACAGTTAAAATGACGGGAGTACGAGTAAAAAGGCTGGTTTTGACAAGACTATTGTTGGCTCAGATGACAATTAGATCAAATAATTTGTGATGAAAAACTGGCCTCCATCTGTGCTCTGTGCTCTCTCCACTGTCATCTGTCAATTGCTCCTGTGCATTTCTGAGACACGTATACTTTTGCTCAAGCAGCTGGATCTCAGTGTAGGTTACTGCACTTCTCCAACTAGCATTGTGTCATTTCTTGATCCATATTCCACATATTCAGTTGCTACATCACCTCCCGTAATGGCACGTTACCGCCCGAGGCTGCAGCTGGCTGTCACTGGCTGATCGCTCTCAGTACCTGTTCTGATGCTCAAAGTGCCAGCGGTTAAAATCAATGTTGAATGCCACGATGCTGCCAGACGCCATGCCTGTGATCAGAGTCCTGGAAACATGGAAAACGGAGTCAGGTTTAAACCAGTTTAGGATTTGTTTGTACAGTTTGTCTCTGCGTGGTGAAAGTGTAAACTTGAGTTTGACCTCTGATCGTGTGACAGGTCCATGGCTCGGATGCCGGCGTCACAGCCGGGGTAGACATACAGCTGTTTGAAGTCACAGGCGTGCCAGACCTCCACCACCCCGTTATCTCCTCCAGTCACTAGATTCTGCCCATCACTGCTCAGGAGGATGGCCTGAGGAAATACAGCTCAGGAAAGTCAGAGTACTGTATTCTCAACTTTAGCAACCTACTCAACCATTCAAAAGTTTGGGGGCATTTTTTATTTTGAAAGAAAGAAAGAAAGAATGAAAGTAATACATTTATTCATCAAGGGCACATTAAGCCAATGAATAATTGCAGTAAAAAGACATTTATAATGTTAGAAAAGATTTGTATTTCAAATAATTGCTACTCTTTTGAACTTTCTATTCAGCAAGCATACTGAAAAAGTATCAAAATTTCCATAAAAAAATTAAGCAGTGCATTTGTTTTCAACATTGATAAGAAGAAATAATATTTCACAATACTACTGTTTTTACTGTATTTTTGATCAAATTAATGCAGCCTTGGCAACCATAAGAGACTTAATAATCTTACCAACCCTGATGCTTTAAAAAATGCTAAATATAATAATAATTATAATAAAAATAATATTACTGAAATATAACTATTGTTATTACTTATTAAATGTATTAAATATAATTATAATGTTACATTATATTACAAAATATTTTTACATTATATTATATATGCTTCCAAATTATTTTAAAACTATGCAGTTATTATTATAAAATAATATATAAGCACATACATATTATGTAGTGTTTAAAACAATTAATAAAATATTAAATAGTTAAATTCATATATATATATATATATAT